CAGGCAGGAGGTGAGCAAACTGTTGACTAAAATGGCAGTAGAGTGATTTGACAGAAATGGACACAGGAGGTTAATATTCTGCAGGTGAAAGTCAGCTGATCAAGTGACAGAACTGATGTGAGACTGGAAATCAGTTTTTGTAGCGTACTAAGCAACCATGTGGAGGAAAACTCCCCTTTAACAGGAAGAAACCTCCAGAGGATCCTGACTCAGTAGAAGCAGCCATCCCCTGTGAGTCATTGGGGGTTTGAGAAGTCTGAGCGCACACACACACACACACACACACACACACACACACACACACACACACACACACGCACACGCACACGCACACACACACACACACACACTAAGCAGTGTTTCTGCAACACATTCTCACACCTGTAGCATCAAAAAATGTCGATGGGTGACCAAGTGTTTGTTTTCAACGCGTTGGGAGCCCCATCGCGGTCTGGAGGCAATGTGCTGTGCCAGAGTGTCATTTTCCGACTGCTGCGATAAAACAGTAGCCTGGCAAGCCAGACTAAATAAATGTATTAATTAGTCTGGCAACTCTCCATTGACGGCTCTCGGTTGTGGGGCGGGTTCTACCATTGTCTTTCAAATGATCTCCGCATTCCACTGGACAATGTATGTGACGTACTCTTGTTTCATTCTGTTGCATCATCCCACCCACCAGGCATATAGAGTGCCCTGATTGGCCCACAAAGCGGATAAAGCTCTGTGATTTGTTCACTAAACAGATAGAGCACTAAGATTGGCCCACCATTATGGACCAATCACAGCTCTTTATGTGTTTGAAACCCCTCTAGAGAGCTGTGATTGGCTAGCCAGAATGCTGTTGGGGCTGCAGAGGTTCCAGTGGAGCATTCCTAGCAGTGTTGCCAGATGTACGATAATTATCGTATTTGTACCATAATTTTGGGCTCTGTACGATGTACGATCAATAGTTTCAAAAATCCTCAAATGTACGATAATTTCACATTGCATCTAGTAACACCATATTTTGCTGTGGCTTTCCCAAGTCAATTACATAATTTTAAACTGTTCTGAAGTCAGATTTCACCTCAGTGCTTACAGGTTTATAAATGTCTCCTACAAACTAATGAAAAAGAGAAGTTTGAAAATGATGTGAAAAACGCTGAAATCAAGCTATGTGGCTTTTTAGCCCAGCACAACATTGCAATGAGAAGCACAGACCACTTAGTACAGGTGATTAAAGGCATTCTGCTGTGACAGACAGTGAATCAGATGAGGAGATCGAGATCAGCAACTAGGTGAGTAGGCTTCTTTGTCATTTATTGGGTCAGTTTTTCCACAGCTGTGATGTTTTGTCGCGTGCTTTTAACCTATGTAGAAATGAAATAAATAGGACTGCGCAAATGTGCATATTGTGTCAATGCGTGGAGGTCGGAGTGGTGCTGACACACTCTGCACGTTTATAAGCATTATATTACTGGTTTTAAAGATGTTTATTTAAACAGGGCAATATAAAACACCTTCTTTGTTACATTATATTGGAGTGAGAAGTAGTTTATAGAACGTTATTATCAAATTTATAATGTACGATAATTTGTACTGAAAAACGATAATTTAAGCCTCTCTGTACGATATTGTGGGATTTTGGATCTGGCAACACTGATTCCTAGACCAAACTTTGCAAAGCAAGAATTTGGTCTAGTTCACTAGGCTAGTAAAACAGAGATTTCACAGAATTGTGACGTTTACCCTCGTGCAATTTAACCTTCCCCTCACCTCTATCCTAACCTTAACCGTCTTGCTGATGGAAAACGTTGTTTCTAGTTGTAACGTCCCTCTCCAACACAGTTAACAGGAAGTTTAGAATAAGAAACTGGGTTAAGGTCAGGATGTGGGTGAGGGGAAGGTTAAATAGCAAGAGGTTAGAGGTTAAATGTCAGTAAAATTTGCGTTTTACTGCGACAGTCGGAAAACAACCCTCTGGCACTGCGTGTCTGGAGGCCTTGGGCTCCCAAAGCATCGAAAACGAACGCTTGGTCACCCATTGTCATTTTCGATGCTTCGGGTGTGAGAATGTGTTGTTTTCTATGGCTGCATGCATTTTAATTTCTTATTATACATTCAATTTCTTAACAAAACAAACTTTATTGTCTTTATCTGTGTTCATCTGTAATTAACTCAACAGGTGAACTAGTAGTAGCACATTCTATGTTATAGAAAGTAAAAAGTTTATATCAGGAGAGGTAGAGATCCTATTCTTCTGTATGAATAAGTAAACCAGTTCACGCCATTTTCAGTTAATATCGAACTGTTTATCCTAACTTACTGGAATCCATTCATCCATCCAGCCATTGTCATTTGCTTTATCCGGAGTCGGGCCGCGGGGGCAGTAGCCTAAGGCGAGAGGCCCAGACTTCCCTCTCCCCAGCCACTTGGGCTAGCTCCTCCGGGGGAATCCCAAGGCGTTCCCTGGTCAGGTGAGAGACATATTCCCTCCACCGTGTCCTGGGTCTACCTTTAGGTGTCCTCCCGATTGGATGTGCCCGGAAAACCTCACCAGGGAGGCGCCCAGGAAGTATCCTGACCAGATGCCCAAACCACTCACTGGAATCTAGGAGTTTAAATTTAGAACACACATTCTGTTCCTCCGCCTTAATCCTTGTTTTGACTTCCCCTTCTTAGTTTGTGGGTAGTCTTCCTTTTTTCCATGAAAACCACCATTCTTTCAGTCTGTTGTTTATTTTCTCTAAGCTGCCTGAAATAAAGAGCTAAGATCGTGATTTAGAGCGATCACAACTGGATTGTAGGGATATGAATGCCTACCTACGTTCTTCGACAGTCAACTTAGGAGTGACATTATATAACGCTTTCACCTTTGTGGGTGCGGTTGTATCGTCCTCTTTTTACCACTTGCGATGTCTGGCCAAAGTGAAGTAATTTTTAACTAGGAAGGACCTTGAGACTGTTGTGCATGCGTTTATCACCTCTCGTTTAGACTACTGTAACTCTGGGGTAAGACAGAGTACAGTAGCTCGTCTGCAGCTTGTGCAAAACGCTGCGGCAAGACTCCTAGAAGGGAAAAGGAAATATCATCATGTGACACCCATCCTGGAAGATCTGCACTGGTTACCGGTCGTTTATAGAGTGCGTTTTAAAATTCTTTTATTGGTTTTTAAGACATTGAATGGGATGGCACCAGAATATTTATCTGACTTGCTACAGCCATATACAGTAACTCCTCTAATATTAGCCTGTATTTAATTAACTGCCGGGTATCATATTTTGGCTGGTGTCGGAGTCAGCGGAGGTGAATAATGGCCGTTTTTTTATTGTGGCCGGGTGGAATGTGGTAACAAGCAAGTACGGGGGGCGGTTGTGTCATCCGTCTCACTTTCGATTTGCCAGTGATAGACCGCGAGGGTAACTAACCGTGCGGAGACGAAGAGGAGGCGAAAATTTCATATCAAGTTCAAAGAGAATGTGCTGATTATGCTGCAGAACACTCTGGGGAGCAGTAGCAGGGGTTGTATGAACTAGTCACTAGTCGACTTCACCGCTCTATAGTGACTTGTTATGCCTGTCATCGACTAGTCGCTGTCACGTGATAATGACCGGCAAGATGCAGTCCACGGAAAAGACAGCAGCCTGTTGTCAGCAGGTGACAAGTTCCTGCGCGTCTGGAGGCAACGCGCTGTACCAGAGCGTTGGTACCGACACCCGCCGTAAAACGGACATTTAACCAAATTGTGACGTTTACCCTCTTGCAATTTAACCTTCCCCTCACCCCCATCCTAACCTTAACCAGCTTGCGCATGCAAAGCTCTGATTATTGATGCGCTCCAGACATGTGCGTCCTGAGCACGGCCACAGTAACATTATCAAATCAGGTGTTGCCACCTCAAAAACTAATTTAACACGCGATCGTTCATGTCGGCTCATTTCCTTTTATGTTTTCTGTCTTTTATTTGTGCCTGATGCGTTTCGCTGCAGTGGAGCGGGGCGCATCACCTGTTTTGTCCTCGGTGACGCACCGATCACTGATGTGGCCGGCGAGCACTCCACTGTTTTTGCAGTCGGTAGATCTTTTAGAACTGCAGTTCAAAGGTAACTCATGAGGTGAATATATATGAACCCAGGTAGCAGTTTTTCTTTAGGATTGAGAGGAGATGCAGGAAGATAATAAACAGATACAGGACAGAAAAATAGTCAAATAAAAACAAGTTAGTTTTTGTACCTGGTGGTTGCAACAAACAGACACCATTGAAGGTAATCAGAAATGAGGAACAGAAAATGAAATAATTATTGTAATGTTTAGAGCAGCAGGAACTCCGAGAGGCTGCAGGCGCATCAGTGAGTTTGCGGCCGCTGCGCAGGGGGAGGGGGCTGAAACAGAAACTACCGTTGTTAAAAGAAATGTGTTAAACTTTGAAAATGGGCGCTATTTTAATTGTCAAAAACTCCAGCGAACCATTAATTCATTTTGCTCAAATAGAAATTGAGGCCTGTCTCTAATTCTGGTCCTCCTTCCAATAAAGGCCTGGAGCTTGATGAGCTTGAGTCAAATACAGGCCCGGGCCTGTATTAGAGGATTTACGGTATACCTAGTCGTTCGCTCCACTCAGAGAGTCACCATATGCTTCTAGTCCCCGCAACTAGGCTCAAAACAAGAGAAGACAGGGCTTTCGGTAGCAGGCCCGAAATTATGGAATGATCTTCCATTATCTATGCAACTTTCCACGTCAGTAGAGGTTTTTAAGAAGGCGCTGAAGACCCGTTACTATAATCTGGCTTTTAAATCTGTGTGTTAACTGATGTTGTTTTGTATTTTCCTGTTTTTTTTTTTTGTTTTGGTTTGGTTTCCTGTATATTCTTTGTTTTTATCTTTTTTAGTTTAGTCTTGTTCAGCACCTTGGTGACATAATATATGTCTGTAAAGTGCTTTTATAAATAAAGGTGATTGATGATGATGATGACAATTGCAACAAATAGAACCAAAACTGAGTTTTAGGGGATGTCTTTACCTGAAATTTTGGTAACTGTCCTCTTGTTTCTTCCAGGTTTGAGAGTAAAGCTCTAAAGCTTTCTTTATATCCTCCCTGAAACACAAACACATCCAGAAACACAGTGAGGTTTGTAATCCCCTATAATATGACTTGATTCAATCATGGCATAAAGAAGGAGGCCCCCGAGGGAGAAATCTGCAACGGTTAGACTCACCTGCAGTCTTTACACGAAGCAGAGGACTGAGGCTCTGTTTTCGCTTGCTGTGGGTTAGGGTCCACATTACTGAAAAAACAGTGAGAGAGTGAAGATTGAGGACTTATTTTGCTTTGAGCAACATCATTAGGGCTGGTCTCCTAGAGAAAATCTGTCTTAAATCATAGTTTTGGGTCACTGTTTGTGTTCAAATGGGAATCTCTGTACAGGAAACAGAAATGATGGGATCCTGCAAGTTTATTTAAACATCTGATGGTTTATTTAGAAAATCTCTTAAATGAACAGATACCTCACTGATAGACAAATCCTGTGAATTGATCACCACCGTGCAAACCTGCAAGTCAAGACCTTTTGTTTTGTCACCCAGACTTCCTCCTGTCTGTGGTTTGAGTTTCTTGTACAGAGCAAACTATCTCTTCCTGTTTTTGAGCACAACCGGCTGCATACATTTGTTTTCAGTTTAGAATTCACAGCGTGGTAAAGGACTTAAGGAAAAGGTTGTGATCATGTTACAAACACAAACTGGCCAAATAATCAGAGCACAGTTTAACCAGCCCCTTGCTACAGGAAATGTTTAATTATAAAGACTTTTGTTGCTATTTTTGGAACAACAGTCATTTATTTAGGCTTTCATTTTATAGCAATGTAAACAAAAAATTCATTCTAGTTTGGACATTATGTCAAGAAAGGATGTTTTGAAGAACCTGCAATTCACCTTTTTTTTACTGTATTTAATGAAGGAATTCATGTTAATCCAAAACAATCAGATGCAATAATATATTCTGAGAAATGTTATTTTTGTTCAAATAATGTTTTTCCCTCCAGTTTTTAATCTTAGAAGATCAGAAAGCACTAAAAAAAACACCATCTGCCTCCAGTTTGTGTAAAACCCCGTCATCACCATGACTCTGCCTGTTTTAACACGTGATCAAGACTTTAATCAAATGAATCAACAACTGCCTTACCGTGTTTAAACCGTTACTTACTTGTTGTCCAGCGTGTACCAGATCAGCATGGTCAGCAGGCTCCCCACAAACATCAAAGAGAGGAGTGGCTTCAAGAGGTGTCCCCTCATACCTCTCCCCTCCTGCTCACTTGCCCTCTGTTTCGTTTTCCTTCACGTGTTATCTGCTGTCTGTCACGCCGGCTATGAGTCCAGATTTCCTCCTGAGTGCAAACACAGCCTCACCAAAAGGAAAATTTTGTTCCCCTGGTTGCTTTTCCTTCATTTCAATTCTTCACCTTCTTCCTCAGAGTCTGACTTGAAAAAGCTCTCACTCTTGGGAAAAGTAGTCCTCTCAGTCATTTCTCCACTTGTCTAGACAAGCCCTTTAGGCCTTCTGTTTATCAGTACTTTGTCTTTCCTCTTTTCCTTCTCGAGTCCGGTGTAGCAGAGTTGAAACAGCAGCTTTGTTGCTCAGCACTCGGCATAAATCCCCGTCATGTCTCTTTGGTCTGGTCAACTTTTAGCCTTCAGGCTCTTTTTTTTTTTTCTTGTGCTCACACACAGACACACTCTCACAGCCCCGCTGCTGCTCCCCGCCCCAAACCGGAGCCCCAGCCTTCCTCCTCTGCTTGCCCCTCCTGCCTTCAGCTGTCCTCCACCCACCCACCCTCTCCCTTCCCCTTTTTGGAGCCAGTAACCCGAGCGTGTGTGTGTGTGTGTGTGTGTGTGTGTGTGTGTGTGTGTGTGTGTGTGTGTGTGTGTGTGTGTGTGTGTGTGTGTGTGTGTGTGTGTGTGTGTGTGTGTGTGTGTGTGTGTGTGTGTGTGTGTCAGAAAGAACGTCCAAACTAATGAGAAACTGGAGCTTTTCGATAAATCTCAGACATACCCCCAAGAAGTCTCACACAAACCTATTTTATTGAAATGTCATAAATGTTCAGCCCATCTAATGGAAAAAGTTTATTTTTTTGTATTTTGAAGCTAAAATCTAGTAAATAAACCTGCTTCACAAATAACAGCATTTCTGAGGGGATCAAGTATTTAACTAACAACAAACAGCTGACTGAAATTAGAGACGCTGAAGCCAGAGACATGCTAGAAGTTAAAGCGAGGACAAGTCCTGGCTAAGCATGGGAATAACACAACGAACTCCCAGCCCGACTACATTTGTCTCCACTGACTTTAGTTTGAAGAGGAAACTTCTTGCTGTGTCTGGCCCGATGGTCTGGCCAGTGTCTGGTGACTACACGCTGAGTAAGCACAGCTCCTCATCACACACAAAGAAGATCAAAAACAAAGGAGTTTGGGGGAATTCTCTCTCTGGCCAACATTAGCATCTGCAGGAAATACATTGTTATGAATGTTTAAGCCTGCGATCTGCTGAAAAAAGGACACTCAGTTAAATCGAACTGAAAATGTAAAAACCATGCTTTTTAAGACAGTTAAAAAGTCCACCCAACTCTGCTTTTAAAACACCTTAAAGAACAGATTCTTTCATTTATCAGGAAACCCAGTAAAAAGCTAAACCCATAATCGAGCTACATGGTTATTAGCAACAGGATGCTGCATTTCTGTTCTGAACTTCAAACTTACAAACCCCAAGGGACCTGAAAGAATTGCCCTGTTGAGGAAAGACAAAGAAAAGCAGCTCTTAAGGGGGAAACTCCATTTACATGAATCATGGGGGGGGGGGGGGTCCTCCAGCATGCTAATGTTATAAATGTAAAAAGATGTTGATGATGAACATCGAGATGTCAAAGAACATTTTTTTAGATCGTGCTGGACCAAATATCCAGATCTGACTCTTCTCCACATTAGCTTATTACAGTGTACCATTTCCATCCAAAGACCCCATTAGCTATTTAACCACATTAAAGCCAAAGAAATGATTTTTCAAGTTGACATCCATAATCTTGTAACACTCCCAGACTCGTGCGGCTCAAGTGAAAGAATAACCGTCAGCTTGTAGGAGTCTTGCCTAAACTCTAATGAAAAGTGGATAATGGTGAATTTTCTGGGACTATTTGTCACTGAGGAATAAAAATACTCATGTTAAAGTTAACGTGGTTAAATCAACATTGCAGCTGAAGATGCGTCTGTGTGGTTTGAAGATGACCTCTGAGTAAATGTGAGAGCAGCTAAATATGTGGAGTTGGGTTTAGGTTTGCATGTTTCCTTGTTGCTTTTGACAGGAAGCCTGAACAAGTATGTGTCAGAGTGACAGACAACTGTATAGGAAGGGGAAGAAAAACCAACCAATTACTTCTGAAAACACCTGATCGTGTAAATGATTAAAAAAATCCAAGAAAAAGGATGTAAACTGTGGTTGTCATTTTTTCTGTGGTAAAAACTTTCAGTTAGATAAGCTTCATTAGTGTCCTGTCTGTTGCTATTCACTCACTCACGCCTACTGAGCGCTCAACAAGAGCAGGCCAAGCTCGTGCTTATAAAGCCACAAGGCGCTAAAACATTTACGCACAGACACAAGATCCTACATTACCTCTGAAGTCATTTAAATGTATATTTATATGTCAATGGTTTCAACATTGACACGTCTTGTTTTGTTCTGGATTAAAACTGAAGTGATGATGAGACTGAAACAGGAGAAAACTAAAACATGTGATGAATTTACTGTCTGAATGCTGTCAGAAGACAATGTCAAGACAAGAACAGTATACTTTGTACCTTTGGTCAGTTGTTACATTTTCTGTGCTGGACGAACACATTGGGAGGTACGAGGTAATAACTTTTATATCCTCTCTCTCTGGTACATCAGATTTCTTAGGCCACTTCAGTACAGGAAGGTGGTCAAGGAAAGAGTTGAGTTGTGAGAGAATGGCAACTGTAGGAATCAAAATGTAAAATGGAAGTTGAAGCGACGAGACACTGAACCGTTCCTATGGCCGGCTGCAGTAGGCATTTTTTGTCTTGTCTTCTCAATGTCCAAATTCATCAAGTTGAAAGTTAAGTACAAGTTTTTCTTTTAATTTATTTTTTTAAGGTGCGGTGTCAGGGCCAGATTAACACTTTGTTGTACCCTGGGCAACAATATTCAAGGGCTCCATCATCACGGCCCAAAGATCACCATAATATGGTCACATACAGAATATTTTACTGTAATATGCAGTAAATATACTCAATACTTGAATGCCTGACATCACGTAACCCACTCAGGGTAACCTTTGACCCACCTTGTGTGGACTGACCAATGAGGAGAGGGTCTTAACTTGAGGCCCTCTCTTCATTGGTCAGTCTGCATGAGACTGACTCTCAACTGAAGTTCAAAGTCATAGGCAGCGAAGCGTCTCTGTGCAGCGCAAAAGCCCGGGTGGACAGTTTGTTTAATATAGGGTGATCATATTTCCATTTCCAAAAAGGAGGACAAGGGATCTGTGCCTATGATGTCACACTATGGCAACGCCACACAAACCACGTTGGGACCCATTTTTTGTAAGAACTAAATTAATATCAGATTCTGCCAATAAAAGGGCTCTAAAACAATTCGTATGTAAATATTTTGCATATTTATTGCAAAATCTAATTTTTCTGCTTTAGTGCTGCAACAAGGTTTTATTAATAAGAAATTATACCTTTTGTTTTACTACAGCATCGGTACGCTTCCTGTGCACAGATTATTAAGGATGCTTGTTTCAGCTGTGAGATTAGACGATAGGATCAATGAAAAAATAAGTTGTCACACACTCCATGGAAACTTTCTGAAAATCCACAAATAGTGGCTTTCAAATGGTTTTGTTACTTTTTACAAGTTTAGAAAAGAAGCAGATGAGGCAGCATGTCTGATAATTTAGTTTTTCATCTGATAATATTAGAACATGTCAGTAATGTCTGAGGGGCTTTTATAAACACTCTATAACTAACACTCCTGGAGAGGGTATGAATTACACAGAGGCTTCTGGGGAGCCCAGTTATGGGGGGTGGGGGTTCATTTTGCCTTGGCCCCCAAAATGTCTTGAAACAGCCCTGGCTGTGTGACTGAGTTTTGAAGGTGATCTGAACTGTATCAGATGTATAAATATTACATGTGTATAACTTATTGCTTTATACAGGTAAAAACTTGTAGTGGAGATAAATCTACCTACATTTTACTTTTCAACACTTTGTTTTGTTTTGTTTTCTTGTTTTTATTTAACTATTTTCCTGTCCTGTCTGTCTCTCATCTTCCTGCATCTGCTCTCATCTTCCTGCATCTGCTCTAAAGTCTCCAGAAAATCTGCTGCCTGTATTCTTACTTTTTCACCTCATCAGTTACTTTTGAGCAGATCAAAGGGATCTCCTGACCGTAGCGGAGTGCGCGTTTCGATGCTGTGTCATTGAGGTGGAGTCGAGTCACCGCAGCACAGGTGATGAGCTCCGCAGTGGCAGCGGGCTTCAGGCGCAAATAAGACAGAAAATAGAGAACATGTGCGGACATGAACGATCGTGTGCTAATTACAGTTTTTCGGTTGCGCCACTTTGAGAATGGACCGTGCGCTGGAAGCAGCTGCCTGGATCGCTGCGCAACAACAATCAGCGCTCTGCAGCTCTCTGTGCTCTCTGCTCAGAAGAGTCCATAAATGATGTAATATAGGTAGAAAACTTTTTTCCGGCTCCCCTGGATGTGTAGGATATCCAGCTCCCCATAATTCGATCCCTGCTCCTGGATGAAAAACCGGACATTTTCAACCGGAACCCCCAGTCCGGACGCCCCGGACAGAGAGTGAGAAGTGGACATGTCCGGGGAAAACAGTTTGTACGGTCACACTAGTTTAATATAAAGCGGGAGATTACAGATATAGTATTTTGCTCGTGCCCTTGCTGCCCTGGGCCCTTTAGAGTTTGTGGGCCCTGGGCAGTTGCCCAGTTGCCCATATGGTTAATCTGGCCTTGGGGCAACTGATTATTGTACGGCAACTGATCATTTGTTGGTGGTATCTGTGTTTTATAATCTCACTGGGGATGGCCAAAAAAATCCATACATTCATATTTAAACCTGAAGTCCTGTCTGTTAAATTACATTACTGTTTCTTTATTTATTTTCTTTCAATTGTGTTGTTCGCTGGGAGGGCCGCCGTTATTGAGCTCGGGGGTAGCTCAGCTCAACAGGGGTGTGTGTTTTGTCGGGGGGGGGGGGGGGGGTGCTACGTCCGCAGCTAGGTATTATTGGATTTTGCACCCAAGCAGATCTTGTACCGACACCGGCTTGTTCACAAACACAAGAGACACGAGCAGTCCTTTTACTGATGTTTAATGCGGTCTTGCATCTCCTTTAACTTTATACCACATGAACACCGTAGAACTAATGAAAAACCATAAATCATGTACAAATTAACAAGTTAGTTGCCTTAAGTTTGCTAACATACAGAGTTTATAAATAAAGCATAAACATACCACTTTGGCCTGCTAGTAGACAAGCCGGTAGACTCGAAAACACTTAACTTTCTTCTCAGATGTTCTTAATTGGCACAAATTTGTCCGTTTGCATCAATAAAATCTCCGAAACTATGAGAGACAGGAAGTGACGTCACAAGCGCTCTTAAACACAACTTATCAAATAAACCAATTCAAAATTACTCAAACATCAAAAATTATTAATTCTGCGCACCTGTA